CCTTTCCCAGCTTCAGGCCCTCACACGGAAAGCTGCCTTGAACATTCCTTGCAGTTTGCAAACCAAAAATAATCAGGGGGCATGGAGAAGCCCCTATGGCAGGTGGCACTCTGGACCAACAAGCCCTGACCCGAAACCCCTGGGAACGCCCACGTGTGCGTGTTGGGACCTGGGGCTTTTCAGTTTCGAGAGGCAACGTGGTGTATAGTCCACGTGGCACCTCGTGCCCTCAGGACCCTGCAGGACACGTCCCCATCCGGGTTCCTGCAGGGAGCAGATGAACATGGCCACCAGGTGGGGACATCGTCTCTGAGTGACCCCCTGCCAGGGCGGCTCAGGTGCGGACGCCGAGTGAGTCAGGGGAAGATCTCTGGTCCAACCGCTCTTTGGATTTCAGAAATTTCTTTTTTCCCCCCTGTGGACGAAAGGGGCCACATGCTGACCTGACAAGCTCAGGGGAGGCCTGCATGGCGGTCTTGCAAACTCGGAGACCTAAAGTCACCACAAAGGATGGTCTGAAATTAAACGTTAACTAAAGCAGTGATGGTGGGCAGTTACATCCTAGGCCGGTATCTTCACTGACAAGGTCAACCTTTACCTTCACGGAGCCTGTCTGTCTTTTTGCATCTATGATAACATCCGTGAAATGTCTGGGTAACTTGTGACTTCCCTGTATCTGGAGCCCCTGGGGCACAACCAGGTGTGCTGGGTCCCAGGACAGATACCACAGATTCCTTCATCATCATGTTAATTGTTCCTGCACCCACCTAAGTGTGTGTCCATCATTTTACTTTTTATCCAATCCCAGGGGTTTCCCTGTTTTGCTTATCCCTCCTTAATCTATCACCAATGGATTTCATGTAACCCACCTACGTGCCTTTCCTTTGATTGCAATGTATAAATGCAGATGTAACCCCACCAATCTCCGGAGCATTATCTCAATTCGTTGAGGTTCTGCTTCCCGGCATATGTCCACAGTTTGGCTCAAATAAACACACAAAAATTCTTTACAGGTTTCAATGGTTTTCTTATGTCAACACCCCCCACTTTTCTTTATTGATTAAGGTATTACATATGTGTCCATATCTCCCCATTACCCCCCAACCCCCAATCCTGCTCTCACCCTCACCCCCTGTTGTCTGCGTCCATTGGTTAGGCTTATATGCATGCATACAAGTCCTTTGGTTGATCTCTCCCCCTTACCCCTCCCCTACCTTCCCTCTGAGGTTTGAGCATCTGATCGATGCTTCTCTGTCTCTGGATCTGTTTTTGTTCATCGGTTTATGTTGTCCATTATATTCCACAAATGAGTGAGATCATGTGATATTGATCTATCTTTTTTTTTTTTTTTAAAGAATATGTTTGTTTGGTTGGTTGGTTTTAGAGAAGAAGGGAGAGGGGGAATCATCCATGAGAGAGAACCCCGAACCCCAGGTGGGCGCCCTGACCAGATATCAAAGCTGGCGACCTCTTACTGCCCAGGACAAGGCTCCAGCCAACGAAGCCGCACCAGCCAGGGTAGGTTTCAGGATTGAGAGGAAGGACCGAGAAGCAGTCAGTGGACACCTCCCACCTGGCAGATAAGGCAGCTTCCCTTACCACGGCCTCATCTGCTTTTGTCCCTTCCCCTGCCCCTGTCTGTCACACCCACCTCAAACCTTTCTCGGCCTTTTTTTTATTCTCTCCTAAAATCCCAAACCCAGCCGAGCGCTGTCACATCTGGATAACCCTGCGGTACAGTGACTTGATGGATTCGTCCTCTCTCGGTGGATTTTGGTTTCTCAAGTGTAGCCGGTCAAAGTTTTGTTGCAGCAAACAGCCCTCAATGTCTGTACGGAGTCAGCTACCTCTGCTTTGTTTGCATCCACTGATTCCCAGAAGCAGGAAGGCCAGCTCGCAGGGTCTGTATAGTGTTGTTTTTTTAAAAAATATATTTTTTATTGATTTCAGAGAGGAAGGGAGAGGGAGAGAGAAACATCAGTGATGAGAGAGAATCATGGATCGGCTGCCTCCTGCACACCCCCTACTGGGGATGGAGCCCGCAACCCAGGCGTGTGCTCTTGACCAGAATCAAACCCGGGACCCCTCAGTCTGCAGGCCGAAGCTCTATCCACTGAGCCAGACCAGGTAGGGCTATGCAGCTTTGATTTCATCCCACATAAGATTATATTTTTCGTAGGATTGCAATTCACAGCCTCAAGAGCAGTGTGTTTGAGACCCCCAGCCCCCCACATCCTTGCCAGCACAGAATGTTAGCACTCCTTTAATTTTTATGGGAACCGGGTGGTGGCAGGGGGAATTGTTTCAAATTGCACATCCTAATACACAGGGTTTGAATGGATTTTTGTCTGTTCACTGGTGTTGGGATGATCACGTCATTGGAAGTTCAACTTGCTTGTTTTTAAGTTGGGTTGCCTTTTTCTTTGTGGAAGCTTTGTAGATTATA